ACATGTCCACTGGCAAAAGAATATATAAATTGTAACATTAAGAGGAATACTATACAGCAATAAAAATTAATGAATTGAAGTGCACATAAAAATGAGAAGGAATCTTACAAACTAATGTGCAGTGAAAGAACCCAAAACAAAAGAATATATACTGTATCATTCCATTTATATGAAGTTCAAAACTAGGCAAATAGTGAACTATGGTATTAAGGTCAGGAGAAGGGGAAGTCATTGGGTGGGAAAAGGAGAGGAACTGTGGAAGTGCTGATAGCATTCCATTTATTGACAGAGCTGTGACATAGGGGTATTCACTATGTGATAATCCATTGTCCACTGTATGCTCATGATCAGTGCACTTTTCTATGAAATATTTTCTATGAGAATAAAAATTTTAAGTCTCTTTTTGGCCTACTGATTCTACGCTTGTCATATTATTAAAAAAAAGGTATGCAGAAATTACAGAAAAATGTACAAAGGCTCTCTGATTTTTAGATTTTCTCAGAGCCAAGAAAATATTACAAAGTACAGAAAACAGGATTATTTTAATACAAATTTAATACAAAACTTTTTATATTTTAATACAAATTTAAAAGTTCTCCACATATTTAAATATATGACTTCAAGTAAGATAGTTACAAAATGTGGAAATTTTCAATGCAGAACTAACATATACTTGCCTCTGACTTCAATATCCTACTATTAGAATGAGGTACAAAGGACTAAGAAACTATGAATAAGAATACTGCACACACTTAAGTAAAACTATTAAAGATGAATATGTAATACCCTATACTACAAATAATCTACAAATAATCTTAAAAATGAGTATGTAATACCCTATACTACAAATAATCTATAATCTTAAAAAAAAAAAGTCACTGTTTTGGGATTCTACATCCTGTTCACAGTTAACCTTTCACCTTCTCAATGGCTCTTCCTAATTGTCACTTCTGGGAATGCTTCTATTTCCAGAAGAAAACTGGGATTGTCCAGATGCTCACTTTCACTAATGTAAGAGTAAGAAACTGCCAATGTGTTTCATTGAAATGCTGCATTCCTAATAATAGATAGTACTATAGAGATAAGGCAAACTGGTGTCTTTATAGAGGTACATTCTTGGTTCTCTCAATTCATGACATATTCGGTATATAATATACTGCTTTTGTAGCTGATTTTTAACTCTTCTCTCACAACGTTGTCCTTGAAAAACCCTTATATATTTTTAATATTTATTTTTTTTACATAATCCCTACACCCAACGTGGGGCTCAAACTCACGACCCCAAGATTTAAGAGTCGCATGCTCTAGTGACTGAGTCAGCCAGGCACACCGTTGAAAGACCCCTTAAAATCAGTTCATCACTAAATTTCTTCACTAGAAACTCAATGGACGTGAATCTGTACTAATTCAGAGGACGTTCAGATTCAAATTGTTTTCAGTCCAATCAATATTAACTATCTTTCTTGTAGTAAAAACAGAGTAGCCCTGGTGGCTTAGTGGTTTAGCGCTGCCTTCAGCCCAGGGTGTGATCCTGGATACCCGGGATTGAGTCCCAACATCAGGCTCCCTGTGTGGAGCCTGCTTTTCCCTCTGCCTGTGTCTCTGCTCTCTCTCTCTCTCTCTCTCTATCTCTCATAAATAAATAGAATCTTAAAAAAAAAAAAAAAACAGTTGGCATACATAGACAAAAGATACTCAGAGGTAATTCGAGGATCAGTATACTTAAACTAGTTACTGAAGGTTACCCATTCAAATGGGATTTCCCAAGTCTGAAAGAAATGAGGCCAAAAGAATATCTAAGAAAATCCTAGTGGCACACAGGCTGTTTGATAACAGGTATTCCCCTCCTTGACTGCAAGAATTGCCAAATATCAAATGACTAGAACCAACCCAATTGTTTATCAGCAAGAGAGTGGATAAACTGTGGTGTATTAAATAGAATACTATACAGCAAAAAAAGAAAAGAAAAAGAATGAATCCAGCTACATATAAAAACCGGAATGAGGGACCCTGGGTGGCTCAGTGGTTTAACACCAGCCTTTGGCCCAGGGTGCGATCCTGGAGTCCTGGGATCAAGTCCCATGTCGGGCTTCCTGCATGGAGCCTGCTTCTCCCTTTGCCTGTGTCTCTGCCTCTCTCTCTCTCTCTCTCTGTCTTGCATGGATAAATAAATAAATAAAATCTTAAAAAAAAAAAACTGGAATGAATATCATAAACTTCTAAGCCAGTAACAATCAATGGTTTTAAAAGAATTCTCAACTTAACTCACCACTTTCCAAAGGCTGTCAATATCTCACTAATCATGTGAATAATCAGTAAGATTTCATAACTTTAAATTTTTTTAAAAAGGCAACTCCCCCAAAAAACACTATACTTAATTTTGTGTGGCTAAAAGTGCAAAGAAGAAAATTTTAAAGGCTATATATATATATTTTTTAATACTGGGAATGAAATAAAATCAAGTATCTACAAGATTCAAGAAACCTTCATGCTTTCTGAAAGTTGACATCAACATGATTCTATACCCATTATGTAATCATACTGAGTTTCAGAAAAGACAGTCTATGTCATTGAAAAATCAAAGAAATGCCTAGGAAATATTCTATATACTTTAAAAACTAAAGAATATTGCATCCATCACTTTAGTACAGCTGTTTAAATCAGTGGCTTTTGGATTCCATATCATATGTCCAGAGAGGCTAAGAAAAAAAAAGCATGATTGGGGGAGATTTGTTTAGTAGGTGTTAGCACCAGGTCATGTTGCAAACAATACAAAGCTCAGACTCTGGAGCATACGGCAAAGAATCACACAAACAGTATAAAAAGATGTAATTCATAAAATAAAACAATCATGTTATTAAAAGCTTTGAAACACTGGTTTTAAATGTTTTCTTGATAAAATTCATTGAAATTGAAACTGATATATTAGAAATAGATTAGAACAAGCACAGCATTCGAATGCATAAATGTCACTCCAAAATTCATCAGCCACTTTTTAGTAACATATCAGTATATCACTGCAGAAAATTTTGCTTTGCAAACAGAGGACACTGATCTCACCTGATTTCATTTTCATACTGTGGGGACAGTCTACCTGAATTCTGGTAAAAGCTTTTCAGGAAAGAGGGGGCAGTGAAGGAAGGGGCAGAGAAGGAAGTGTGTAGACTTGGAAGGCTGGAGGAAGAGTTACTCTCCTTGTGCATGCGCCGACCTGATGGAAGAATGCTGAGTACAGAAAACACAGCAAATTTGTCTTAATTTAGATTTCTGCAAAATCTTCATTCACTATGAAAAAGCATATAAACAGGTTCTTGCTATTAATTTAAGCTTTCCTTTCAAAGCTCAGGGCTGGATCTTCTATGGAAAAAGGGGAGCATGCAGTTGTCTGTTTCAATGACCATAACCTGGCTCACTCTTCACAAACTGAACTCACCTATGCACATGTCCAACCAGAGGTGTTTGTCTCTAAAACATTCCTCATGGCTTTAGAACAAAAGGTGTTTGTTTTTACATGCAAAAGATACTTCAAGGGAAAAAAAGTAGGAAAGCAGAAATAATCACAGGAAACACGTTCTTGCAACAGATTATCAGTAGTTCAAAGACTTAGCTATTTTAAAGATATAAACCTTTCTAAAAATTTAGGGACAACTTGTTTGGTTGTTGGAAGCCATCATAATATCTCTGGCTTAACAAACATTAATGCCTATGTTCTCTCCTGCAGCCTGTGGCATTGTGTCCACAGTTTTATCTGAATCCCTGAACCTCCTCCATTGCTCTTTTTAGAAGATTCTTCTCCTAGCAAGTTTTCACAATAGCACAAATAGCATCTTTTCATATTGAAAAGAATTATTTGAGCATCTACATTATAAGAAGTAAGGAGGAATAGAGAAATCATTTATAAAGTCTTATGTTTTAAATTCTTGATAATTTTTCCTGGAAGAAAACAGACTTATTGCCTTGTGTAAATATAACTGAAGTGGTCATTAAAAAAAAAGTGATATAAACATGAATACTTAATCTTTTTTAGAAGAGAAAATCTGAGAAAAATTAATTCTGTAAATCTCTTTTATTTTCATATATCCAAAATATCTATCTTATTTTTAAGTGTCAAATCAGTCAAAACACAACACTGAAGATAAAACAGTAATCTTAAAAGAAATGCTGGCAAATTTGATAACAACTAATATAAAATTAATCTTCCCAGGAGTTCTGGGTTTTTCTCCACTGGGATCACTTATCAGACTCTGCTTCCTGGATCAAACTCACAGGTGAAGAAGAGAAACAAAATTAACTCTAGGATATAAATTCTGATATGTGCTACACAGAAAAGTAAAACCATTCTGCAGTTCCAGGTTTACCCCCTTTGTTGTTTGTACCTTACCAAATGCCAAACCATTTTGTTGAATTATTTTTTAAATACCATATAAGATAATTTCTAATGGACACTTCCATCAATTATGATATGTGTATCCTTCTTTACAGACTTCATTCTAGATAAAATTTTTAATTATTCCCATTTTTGGTTTTAATTTATTATGAAGTATAGCCAAATTTTATCTCAGGTATGAAGGTAACTTAGGTGGTTTTTTTTTAACCCTTGTATTTTATTACAGGCTAACAGGAAGTTCTACTGCTATGTACGTTATTTTCAAATTTGCTATCTCGGTTTTATTTGAGCCATCATCAAGAAGACACTGAGTAACATGTTGTCACCAAGTTTTTCAGACAAAACAATTGCATAGTATCTTGTTTTCTCCATTTTTCTGGGGAAAAGAAAATGTCTTCATCCAAAATGCCTTAACTCTTCTCTTGGGATGGACTTTAAAACATGCCTTGTCTCTTTTAGCTAACTAAGGTTTTTATCATTCATTTTATCTTTCTGGTTTTTCTAAAAACAAAATGTTGGCAGCATGAAGTCACAATAAATCTTGACTCAGTACTGATCAAAATAGGTGACAGGAGAATTTTACTTCACTATCCAAAAAGAGGTTTGGACTCACCTGCACTGTTCACTGGAGCTCTGCCTCAGAAGAGGAGAGCGAACAGCATGAGCTCTCCCATCCTGTAAATTCAGCTTTCTCTTTGTGCTTGAAGGTGGGTGGCTGAACGTGTGTGCCCGTCTTCGAAACTGTGGGGAGTCAGAATCCTCTTCAGGGAATGTTTGCCAAGCTGAGGACAGTGGGGAGGCTGGAGGTGTCCCTGGTGGAGAGTCTCCTGGTGAATAGTCCTGAAAAGGAAGTACAAGTTAAGGTCTTTCTTTCCTACATGGATCCTGGCAGACCTGCTTCAACACACAGCTCAAAAGTGACAGGGTGCCTCTTCTTCCTCCTGAGTCATGACAAAACTTTTTTATTTTTTTCACTCAATCCATGCTGAAGGCTAATCAGTATCACCACAACCCATTTCTTCTGATAAGCAGCTGTAACACAGCATCCGTAAAGATAGGCAGAAAGTGAAAAGAATGATAAGAAAAGGTATTCTTTCCCCTAACATTTTGTGGTAAAATGCTATAGCTACTGTACTTTTCTCATTGTTGCCAGAAAGATGAAAAGGCATCATGAGCACCAGGAGGGTGGGGTCTGTGTTTACATATCTACTGATTTCCGTGACATATCGGCTGCATGCTTCCTGTACTGTCAAAACAGATCACAATGCTCAAGTGTCCAAGTCTCATGGCAAAGCCTTCAGGAAAATAAAATAAAGCCTGTTAAGTATCTTCTTTCACTGTGGATGTTTCTATCCAATGACACGTTCCCTGAGGTAAAAATTTTTTATAAGACATGAAAAACAGGAAATGAATGAAAAGTGAGCTATGCTGGAATGCCTCTCATATTGCATGGGGAGACATCATAAATCTTTCAATTTAGACAGGTATGCTGTTTATACTTTCCAAAACAGGCACCACTGTAGAAATGTTTAGCTTGATAAACATGGAACATGGGGTTAGGGTTAAGAGACTCATAGCGAGACTATGTCCTCAATTCTATCGACACAAAGTTCAGTTAAAAACATTTTAGTATTTTCCATTAAAAAAAAAATTGGTTGCATAAACCTCAGGTTACAAATTGCATGATACAGGAAGCAGGAAATCAAACCTACTAACAACTATCTGTGAGATAAAGAGGAGCCTAATGTTAAAGTGGAAAAAAAGAGAGAAATGGGGGGGAGTACCAAGGGGACAGAACAAAACATAAAAAGACCACTGTACAAGTGCTGCAATTACACGACTTATTTTTCTGTGGCTTTGGGTCAACAATTGCCCAAATACCATCCTCCCAAGCATCCCTATCTCCAAACAGTAAAAAACCTGATAGAGGACAAGTCACCGGGAACTCTCCCAACACAAAAAGGGGATAGCTGAACAGAGAGCAACATGATACTATCCACAGCCTTCTTATTTCAAATGATAGTATTTTTTTTCTTTATTTAAACATTAATCCAATATTTTAAATTTAATTTTAATAATAATATCTGTTAAAACTCACAAAGGACTCAGAACAAAATAACGAAGTGATATTAACATATCAATGTTGGTTTTTGCCAAATTGCAATTAGTAGTAAACATTGGAGCTCAGATGGGATACCTTCTCTGAAGCAAGACTGTTGGACCGTTCAAAGCTGTCCATACTCCCAAGCCGACCTCTCATTCTGTTAGCTCCCTGAAAGAAGAGAATAAAATTCAGTTGTTCACATGATTTAAATTTTTGCTTTAAAATTGTAAAGGACAGTTGCTTCTTTATGTTAACGTTAAATTGGTCCTTTGGTGGTTTGCTCAAATTTGTTGGCAGTATCCCAGCCATGCCTGCATGGTAACAGAACTATGCATAAGCTACCTACCCTGCTTCTAAATCAACCGTTAGATAAATAGATACTCAGACCAAGCTTCTTGAAGTGACTCTGGTTTCAAGGTTAAACATTCTTCATCCATAAGATTGGGAGAACCCCATAAGACCAGGGAGCACCCCATTCACTTTATGTTTCATACAGACAAACACAACCATGGAATGCAAAACACACAAACTGCAACAATTATAAAGAAAATGATTAATACATCCAACCATCACATAACCTATATTGCAAACATCATAGTTCACATTATAGGATTATAACAAACAGATTTCTAAAAATTGTGTTGTAAAATGTATAGACTTAGCTTCATTCATTCTTCCATAATACAAACTACATCAAGAAAGCATTTCTCAAAAAAAAAAAAAAAAAAAAGAAAGCATTTCTCTCTAGAAGACTATACATTAGTCTGCTTTAATACTGGCTCTTATTTTTCTTTCCATGACTGTTTGTTATGAATTTCATGGATGATCTAAGAAAGAACTGAAACTTCAATCATCTAACCTATTCCATATTCTACTGTTATTACAACTCCCATCTTGTACAATCTATTTTTCATGCATTCAACAAGTGCCTTAGCAATCACTAATTAATGACAAAAGTCACCAACAGAACTTGGTGTGGTCAAACATCACATAATGCATCAACTACAGTTTTTTTCTTTTTCTTTGAGCTACTCATTGTAGAAACCTGTCTTTCTGTCCTGTTCTAGACAGGTTGCAATTTAGACTTGCCCAGTATTTCCCTTTATTATCAACCTAGACATTTCCTTTAGTACTACCCTATGTTGAAATTTGTGTCTTTGATCCCATGTCTTCCTCTTTTTTAGTTTACTTCCTCATTTTGGTGGAGTACACACACCAGGTGCCTTCTGAGAAAGGGAGATTGAGGTATTTTCTCTTTCTGTAATTCCTACCACTTGGCTTTTGGATCTTCAGACTGATCCCTTAAGTTTTTACCTTGTCCTCCTATTTTCCATTTCTTTGTCATTTTGCTTTACTTTCTGGAAGAGATTTTCAACTCTAGTTTCCCAGACTTTTGTTGAATTTTTCTTTTTATGTCTACTGCCAGAAAGTTGTAATGGTTCTTTCTTGTTCACCCAACTGACTGTTGATTCAATTGTTCACTCCAATGACTCTTATTCTCTCTCAACTGTTTTATTTTTTTTTTAAGATTTTACTTATTAATAGAGAGAGAGAGAGAGCACAAGCAGGGGCAGTGGAAAGGGAGAGGGAGATGCAGACTCCCCACTGAGCAGGAAACCCAATGCAGGGCTCAATCCCAGGACCCTGGGATCATGACCTGAGCTGAAGGCAGCCACACAGATGCCCCTCAATTGACTGTTTTATATTTATGATATCCCACATCTAGTTTTATAGAAGCAATCTTTATTTTTATCTATGTATATTAATATATCTATGTATATTAATTATAATTTTCTTTCTGGTGGTACCCTAAATAACTATGTCAACAGTAAAATTAATAGCTGCTTCAAATATTGAGTTCCTACTGTATGCTATATACCATGTTAAGCATTTTATAATGCATTAACTCATTTAATCCACACAAAAATTCTATGAGGTAGGTAAATTTACTTAGCTCAGCTTTATAAGTAAAGAGGCTAAAGTTCTGATAGATTATATTGCCAAAGTTTGCACAGTTAGTTAGAGGACAGGGCAGCAATGTGAACCCAGGACATTGAATTTAACAGTGAAGCTCCTGAGCTGGTACCCACTGTTATCTCCTAGAAATAGGGCTTTGTGAAAAGTGGAATTGCTAATAAAACTAAGTAGCTGATGCTGGTAATTTTGCAAATGTCCTAGAACCTAATAAAGATTCTTTCAGTTCTTCAGTTCAATGTATAGCAGGAAATACTTCCAGTAAGAAACTATATTTGTGGCTGATAAGTGATTCAGTTCATGTGTATGGCCATGAGGAAAATATTGTAATGACCAGGTTGCTTTTTCCCATTTTCTTAGCTGCTACTTCCACGCCAACCTGCCTGCTTATCTAACAACAGGTTATTTGGTCACATTCAAGAAACTAGTCAGTCGGCTATCAAATCATTTCCGTTATTAGAAATGCACCTAAATCACATTTTACTCACAGAAGTGTTTTATCCATATGTTTTTATGTGTCTGTGTGAGTGTGCACAAAAAGAAACAAACTTGCTTTAAAATTATACTCTATTATGGTCATTAACTCACATATTTCAACAAGGAAGGACAATGGATAGTAAGTACTCTGAGGGAAGCATGAGATGAGGGCTGTTCGCCAATGATGCATACTTTATACTAGCAAGTATTCCTCTTTTGGAAATATTAATTAATATTTTCCTTTTGGAAAACTCTGACTTTAGAAAGAGCAAGACAACAACTAGAACATAAGACTCTTTTCAACTTTGAGCAGACAGCTTTTTCAGTTTAACTATATGATGATTTGGTAATACATGTGTCAAGCCTTTTCCCTTGGACCTACTTTTTAATTGTTAATGAGCTGAGCTTCTAAGCATTTTAAAAACAGATCCTATTTCATAAACAACTATAGTCAGTTAAATAAGCCGTCTTGACATTTAAAACTGGCAGCAATTATGAGTCAAACTCTATGACTAGAGTGTCAATTTTCCACTATATAACTCAGAAAGAAAGAGATAAACTAACCAGTTTTAGAAGTACACAAAACTCCTTTTCTTTGTAACCTTTAACACAACACGAGTAGCTGCCAACCTTCCCCTTAAGTCCATTCTGTTGCATATGATGCAAGCAAGATCTTGTTAGGTCACATAATTTATGGCACTTGGCAGCACCACAGGGCATGCAAGCTCCAGTATCTGCCTTGACCAAAATAGATGAGCTGTGCCCTTGCTGAAAGAGTCATCGCAGCCACTCAAGGCTATGCGAGCGGCACTTCAAAGCCAGCCATGCATGCACTGTACAGAATTCCAAGGTACTAAATGGGGAGAAGGAGAGTAACAGCCTAAGCCCCCTATGGTCATTTTGTAGAGGACAGAGGTTTCAGAGCTTACCACTGTTTGTGCCATGTGGGATATTTTCCTAACAGACTGACAGTTCATCCTCATCGTAATGTGAGGTAAACTCGCTATCGGTGTGCACATTTCACAAATGGGAAAACTAGCTTCAAAAAGGTAAATAATTTGTTCAAGATCATAAATAGGAGATCTATTACGGACAGGTCTTGAATTCTGGTCCCCCAAACACTTACTTAAATGGCCTTTCTACTAAATTCTCACTAAATACTTTGGAAGAGAAGGGAAGGATGGAGGGGAAGGGGGAAGGAAAGAGTGAGAAAGAAAGGAAGGAGAGAGAAAGAAGGAACACAAGTAATTTATAAATACTAAAGAAAAAAAAAGGACAGGAAAATCTTATGAAATGTGGCATTAACATACTTCTGATAAATCTCCTAGATTTCTCTTTTCCTATATTCTGTCTTCTGCTGATAATAGTATTCAGAGCTGATGATGCTTCCTACAAGGCTTTGTTAGAGTCAGAAGAATTTCAAACCATTAAGAGAAATACCTATTTTGAGTTCTGGGAAAAAAAAAAAATAAGAACACCTCTATTCAAAGGTTCTGCTCTAATGCTCTACTGTACTTAACTTTCTTGACCCTGATATTTCTGAAGACAGCTGGCTAGTTATTTTGTAGACTGTACCTCAAAGTGGGTTTGTGGATGCTACCTCATGATTCAATTCAGAGACTTCCCCTTTGGCAAGAATACCACAGAAGTTCTGTATTCTCTGTTATCAAGTGGCACAAGATTTCAATTTGTCCCATTGCTGAAGATGTCTCATTTGATCACCTGATTGAGGTGGTATCTGTCAGCCTTCTCCATTGTAAAGGTACTACTTTCCTTTTTGTAATTAATAAGTATTAATTAAATCCAGTAAATATCCCGATCATGATCAAACTTTCAAGATATTCATTCATTTTTCATATCAGAATAGTTTCATCAACTCCTATTTAAATAATAGGGGATAGTCCTTTACCATCATTTATCTTGTTTACATTGCCTCGGATGTCAACAATGGAAGCCCTTCAAGGTCTATATGACATACTGCCATCTTTCTCTGCTTCTCTGAGCACGCCCTTACTATCTAGAGCATCAACACGCTCCGAGCTTATACTGTACTTTCCCCTACAGTCTTGGAATCAGTCATTTCTCCCAGGATCCTGGTTCCTTCTTGTGGAATGATATACAGAAACCAAAATCTGGATGCTTGGTGTCATTCAACCAAGCTTAATTTATTCTCTGGTATTTGCAGAAAAGCTGTTCCCAGCTCTTATCAGTGGACAGAGCCAGGGACCATATGCACATTTACACACACACACACATTTTAATATATATACTTAAAAATAAATTTAAATATATTAAAAATAAATTCAAAAGTATGTAGATAATCAGGATTCCATACTGTTACCTCTGAGTTGAATCCAACAACAAAGGATTTTATTATAATTTCTTCCCTCTTCATATTTGTAATTCCCTTTTCCCAAATCCTTAATACAATTACATATTTGACCAGTCTCCTGTGTGTAAAAGTCTCCACAACTGTCACCTCACGGACACTCTTCATCCTACTCAGGTTCCAACATCTCACATTGGGGCTGCCATCCACACAAACAACACCATCCTCACCCTGCTCAAGGACTCTAACTCCTTGTTATAGGAACCTTGAATGCCTTCTCCCCTCCACTCACTGTGGTTTTGACATCCTATGTTGGCCCACCCCTCTGCAGGACTGACCTCCTTGCTGGCTCAAGCTCTGACTTCCTGAACTAGGTTGCCCTCCTAAACAGATCCCCTCCTCATCACAGTCTAGATTTCCCCACACACAGTACCTCATTAAGTCTCCCTGCTCTGAGCCACTGTGGGTCCCCCACCCTCCAGCTCTAAGACATCTACCTTGTCTGGTCTCATCTAACAGCTTTATGAGTGAATTATTCAGGAAGAGAAAAATGGAAGGAAAGAGAAATCATCTTGATTCTAAAATAAAATACCCAATAAAATAAATGGAATACATCAATTCCTATTAATTTATACTATTTCCAGAGTTCCCTGACAGCTCCTAATAATAGCAAAATGAAAGCTACTTTATGTGGCAAACAATAATAAGTTCTTATAATACTGGGTATCAATATTCTATTTCCCCTTTCTTATACATAATATCTCTACTACTAAATCTCTTGCTTAAACTTAGATACGAGGCACCAGAATAAATCATGAGGTTACTTTAAATAAGCTACCTAAGCCATGTCCACAATAGCCAAACTGTGGAAGGAGCCTCGGTGCCCATCGAAAGATGAATGGATAAAGAAGATGTGGTCTATGTATACAATGGAATATTACTCAGCCATTAGAAACGACAAATACCCACCATTTGCTTCAACGTGGATGGAACTGGAGGGTATTATGCTGAGTGAAGTAAGTCAATCGGAGAAGGACAAACAGTGTATGTTCTCACTCATTTGGGGAATATGAATAATAGTGAAGGGGAATATAAGGGAAGGGAGAAGAAATGTGTGGGAGATATCAGAAAGGGACACAGAACATAAAGACTTCTAACTCTGGGAAATGAACTAGGGGTGGTGGAAGGGGAGGAGGGCGGGGGGTGGGGGTGAATGGGTGACGGGCACGGAGGGGGACACTTGACGGGATGAGCACTGGGTGTTATTCTGTATGTTGGTAAATTGAACACCAATAAAAATTAATTTATAAAAAAAAAAATAAATAAATAAATAAGCTACCTAATTAAAGTTATCTTAGTAGTTTGTTGTTGGGTTTTAAAAGAAATTTTCTGTGAGCCAGTTAAGAGTGAAGTAGAGTAGTTAGCAAACACAGATGTTAATATCTAATTAAGAGTCTCAGTTTAATCTTACCCTTGAGAAGATATTTTCCAGGGAGCTAGTTAAAGATCTCTTAGCTTTATTTTTCAGAATGTCAAGTTTGAACCTTCCACTGCTTGTTGCATTTTCCGGGATTGTACTATTTGAAATAGTCTATAGAAAGAAAAACAGATAAATTTTAGTTTGGAAACACTCAAGGTTAAATGAGGCTTTAAAAATGGGCTTAACTAAGCCATTAAAAAGCACAAGAATTCTTTTGTAGCTCTATTAAGGAGTAATAATTTAGGTTCCACACTGTGAGCATAGAGATTATAAGGACAGGGGTTTATTTTTTAATATTATAAGTAATAAAAAACACAGACATTCCTTTCTTTCTGCCTTTCCTTTCTGCTAATATATTCCTGCTGCATTTAACAAAAATTAAACTCAAGATGTCAATTTTTACTGCTATTTTGATTAACAACTATAACCATCCATCTCCAAGCTGCATATTTTTATCCAAATTACCAAGGAAAACACAGAAAATAAGCTTCAAAGAACAAAGCATCCTCCAGTAAAACTGAAACCTGCTAAACCTCTGTGATAGTCCCATTTTCATGTGTGAGTCATATATCTTTCAGACCAATAAGTACTCATTGATAGTACTAAACTGTATGAGAATCTACAGTATGTATAATATATTAGGTTCTCTCTCTTTCCTCCTATTGTATTAAAAAGCTACTATGTGTATCAATACATGGTTGGTAGTGCTAGAAAATTTCCAAGAGAGAAAATTTATTATCTGTTTGAGGAGGGAATATATTCACATTAAACAGTAACACAAAACAACATGTATCAAAAAATCTGTAAGCCTAAAACTTGGCTGTGGGTCTCAGAAGTAAAAAGGTTGGTTGTGGGTCTCAGAGGTGAGGAATAAAAAATGGGCAAGATTCCACAGGCATAAAAAATGGGGGTGGAGGGGATCCCTGGGTGGCTCAGTGGTTTGGCGCCTGCCTTTGGCCCAGGGCACGATCCTGGAGTCCCGGGATCGAATCCCACGTCGGGCTCCCAGCATGGAGCCTGCTTCTCCCTCCGCCTGTGTCTCTGCCTCTCTCTCTCTCTATGTCTATCATGAATAAATAAATAAATAAATCTTTTTTAAAAAACGGGGGTGTAGACAGTCTCAGCACTGGGGATGACGTTAGCAAAATAATAAAGACCAATGTTCATGGGAAAGGGAGTAGGTGCAGGTGTGGGACTAAAAGAAAAGTAGTGGATGGTTAACTTGGAAAGTGAGGCTGGAGATGAAACTCTGAAAAGGATGAATCACTGATCAGAATTTATAAGCAGAGGGGTGTCACTGTGAAAGTAATGTTTGGGGAAAGATTTATCTGAAAGGAGTATTCAAAAATCACCTGAAGGATAGGGAAATCAGAAGCTGAGGGACCAGACCAGATACTCAGTACAGTCCATACAGAAGGTAATCAGAGGTCCACATAAGAATTGGTTCCATGGGGCCATCTAAGACGTTACTGATAAAAAGAAATATGACCTCATCAAGAAAGGAAAAAAAGCAATGAATATGGATGTGGGCTGGACTGGGCTCAGCTGTGGATAAAGGATGGGGAGGACATTCTTCTCAGGCTTTCAGGCAAAGAACATGACTAAAATAGGGAAATTGTATTGGTACTTAGCACAATGCTTACAGTGCTTGACACAGTAGCTGCTCAGTAAATATCAGATGAATAAATGAAAGGAAGAAAGGAAGCGGGGAGGGAGGGAGGGAGGGAAAATCCTACTACTAGCAGGAAAGAAAACTATCTCCCCTAAAACTTCATTCCCACTCCCTCCTCCCAAAAATTTCTTCCTCTTAAATTCTTGAATTCTTTCCTCTATTCTTACTCTGCACTCTAGCTCTAAAGCAAAGAAATACCTAGTTTGGGGCTCACTGCGCATTCTTTTAAGAAGCCACATTTTTGCCTATTCTATGTGTCCATTTATCTGTTTGCATTTCCCTTTCCAATATTTGAGCTCTTCCCTGGAGGATTCATTCATTTCTTTTTTGTTCACCATCGTCACACAGCTTGGCTCACAGGAGGTTCTCTAGAAGAACATGTTCAATGAATACAATTCAGGAATTACTAATAAAGTGATATGTAACTTGTTCCTGATTTTGTGTTATCGAGAAGTAACTATGTCATCATCTCCTTACAGGGCTGTTGCTGGTGTCTTGCTTTATCTATATGCAGCTGGAAACATGTTCTCAATCATAGACACAAAAATATCAGACCTTCCTTTGCAGCTAAAATGGCTGTTTCCAAAATACTACTGCTTCTTTGAGTGTCTGCTGTTTACCGTTCAAGGTTATGTAAACTTGTAATGAAATAAAATGTACATATGAATTTGAAATAAAATGGATCAATATCACCAAAAGAAAAGTTCATTCCAAATCATGAGCATGTTATTACTGTTTTTATACCAAAAACCCATTTTTTTCACATTTGAAAACTCAATGCTAAAACCCAATGCTAAAACCTCCTATAAAACTAAGATGCTGAAAAATAAATGATAGAACTTTAACCCTAAAGGTGAGAACACAAAGAAAGGAAACTTCTTTCACATCTTCTGTGATATTCTCACTAAATAAATAAACAAAATAAAATTAGGTCAAGGCAAAAAAAACATCTTCTCACCGATGGGCCTTCTCCAATGTGAATGTGTGTCCTCTGCTTGGCTTCACACAGCTGCCTCAAATGTAAAATCACAAGCTCATTCTCCTCCTGGTCACTGACTGGCTTCATTTTCTGTCCAACAGTCAAACCAAGAACACAGTATACAACACAGCTTCTCTCATTTTATTGTATTCCCACTTGGTTTTATGCGTCTGGCAGACAGACATAAAAAAAGCTAAGTGTTTCACTGCTCTTAGGAGCAAGAGTAACAGTGGTATTCTAGTTAAACTATCATATATAGTACAAAAGGATATATATCTTTAACTTCAGAGAGAGGAGTGGGAAAAAAAACTTATAAAATAGGATCCAATTCTCATTTCTTATATCTTATTTGTGAGAACTATAAATCATGTTACCTGAACTCGCTCAAAGATGTCTGCTTGCTCATTATCTGTCAGTGATGAGAGATGCCTCTGTATTACCAGCTTGGCTCTCGGGGGGTAGAGACCTATGGAAAATGATGGGAATAAGTATTAAAGAGAGTGTAGCTGCAGAGATCAAAATGCATATATCATGTTACAGCTTGTCCCTCTGTCAGCAGGCTCTGAAGTTAAATCTTCTCAAGGAGATGTGTCCCTGCCTATAACAAACTTTGGAACGCTACCACAAAATGATTAAAGCCAGAGGGAACCCTTACCAAAACCAACGCCCCCCCCATCGGTTATCTTGAAGTCAGAATTATTAACCAGAAGTTTCTAAAAGATGCCAATCAGCAGCATAACCAGGTACCATTCAGTATTCAAACAAGCACAGACACCGTAGAAACTCATAGGTGAATACTAGCAATCGGCCAAAATCTCTAAGCTTAAAACATGACCTAATACTAATTTACTATTAATAATATCAAAAGACAGAACTACAGTATAAACAGGAATCTCTCTTCCTCATGTAGGTCCTGTTCCATGGAAACAAAATTTGAAAAAATAGCAATAGTACTTAGTGACATAATTAGCGTCATTATTCTACCACAAAATTGTTTACCTCTTTATATCCTGTCATCTTTATATCTATCAAGGTCTTACACATAATTTATATCAAGTCCTTGGGCAAAAAATTTTCCATGAAAATACTTCTGGCTTTATAAAAATTTTTATTTTTATTTTTTTAATTTATTTATTTATGATTGTCACAGAGGGGGGGGGGCAGAGACATGGGCAGAGGGAGAAGCAGGCTCCATGCACCGGGAGCCCGACGTGGGACTTGATCCCGGGTCTCCAGAATCGCGCCCTGGGCCAAAGGCAGGCGCCAAACCGCTGCGCCACCCAGGGATCCCTATAAAAATTTTTAAAAGCAAAAAGTTATTTTCTTCTAAGATAACACTGTGTGTATGTATTTGCTTTATATTTTATTACCCAAGCAATATAAATTCTATATATTTTTTTAGTATGAGAATATTATAGATAGAGCTAAATTGGCCTTTGATAGATACTAGAATCAGTGAGCAAAGGCAAAAGAGACAGATTTGTATAGATTCAAAGTATCTTCCCTAAAATATGTGTTGGCTCCAGGGGGAAGAGTAGTAATTTTATAATGGGAAATTGCTGAGACCACCTTGACCAGGTGATAAGGCCAGCATGATCAGTAATACACTCCTCTCCTCAACACCATGAGCCCCATGACAGGATTCACTGAGAAGAAGGCCGCACCATTTCTATAGTGCTCTTGCTGAGGAGGGGTGCCCTTAGGCCAAATGTGAGACAACATCACACAGGCTGAACTGATGGACATCCAGCAAAGTAACAGAGATGCTCATGGGGGGATGTCAAAGTCATGGAAGACAACAAAAGACTTAGGGGTAGCTACAGACTGCAGGAGACCAGGGTAAAGTAACAATTACACACAAGCTGGAATCCTGACTAGGACCCTGAAACAATAAAGGACATGAATGAAACAACTGGTGAAGATCAAATGAAATGTTTAGTTTGGATAATAATGGTGTGCCAATACTAATTTCCTATTCTGAACACTGCACTGGGCTATATAGCCCAGTGAGATGTTAACAACTGGGGAGGATGGGGGATGAACATTTGGAAACTCTCTGCAACTTTCCTGTAAATCTAGAAGTAGAACATATTCAAAGTTCTTTAAAAATGAAATACAGGAGGTACCTGGGTGGCTCAAGTGCCTGCCTTCAGCTCAGGTCATGATCCCAGGGTCCTGGGATCAAGTCCTGCATCAGTCTCCATGCTTGGCGGGGAACCTGTTTCTCCATCTCCCTCTGCCTGCCATCCCCCCTGCTTCTGCTCTCTTTTTCTATCAAATAAATAAAAATCTTAAAAAAAATTAAACATAAGCTATTATTCATTTTTTCCAGATATAGCAAAGTGTATGTATTATTCAGCAAATTATCATTTTACTCAATTATATAATTTTAAGATGTATCCAAATTGATACACAGTTGAAATCCGTTCCTATTAATTATTCCATTGTAGGAACATACTTCAGTTATGTTATTGAGACACATCTGGGTTGTTTACAATTTTCCCTTATTTTAAAACAATACAACCTTAAAAATGGCACCTTGTAAACCTACATTAAGAGTTTCTGGGGCATCTGGGTGACTCAGTGGTTGAGCGTCTGCCTTTGGCTCAGACCATGATCCCAGAGTCCCGGGATCGAATCCTGCATCAGGCTCCCCATGAGGAGCCTGCTTCTCCCTCTGCCTATGTGTCTGCCTCTCTCTGTGTCTCTCCTGAATAAATAAATAAAATCTTAAAAATTAAAAGAGTTTCTCTTATCATGACAGGGAACTGGTGGGTAATTGTAGGTTAATGAATTTCTATCAACCATCCCTCAAAATGGTGATACCAATTTACACAACAGCCTCACATAAATATATCAATATCCCCACAATTTCATCAAGTTAATATGATGACTATCATATTATTGGTTTCATTTTCATGTCTCTGACATCTAGTGAGTTTGAGAATATTCTCATTTTTATTACTGAACCTTTTAATTTCCTTTTCATTTGAGTGTTTTTTAATATGGATTGTGACATTTCCTACTGGTGGTTTTATCTTTCTCTTTCAGACAGTAAGAATTCTAATAAATCCTGATTACCAATCTGCTATCTCCTCATTTAACTTCCAAGGTAATAGTTATGTAAAAAATATAAATTCTTATGAAGTCAAATCTGTCAATGTCTTCTTTTAACAGTTTTTGCATTTTTGTATCTTAATAAAGGCTTCCTTGTTTATGGACATAACAATATTCTTATATTAGTAACTTTAATATTTTGCTTACAGTGAGGGGTTTGATACATCTGGAGTACATTTTGAGTAGGATAAGTGGGAAGAATATTTCTCTCTTTGGATAGCAAACTGACCCACACTGATTCCTGAGCAATTCAGCATTTCCTCCACAGACTTCTAATGTTCTCTTTACTGTACACCAAAGAATGTTCCATTTTTGTAAAGGTACAAGTGTGAAAATCATGTGCATTCTGTAAATCAGAAATTTTAAAATCTGAATATTACATTTAAATAGTCCCAGTTCACACAGTTGAAAGGATATTCAATAAACACTGCTGTTCATCAATTTTGCCCTGTGCCTATGATCCTGCTGTCTACTGAACAGAAATCACAATTTGCATTTACAATGAGGAGATCATTCTCTGCTGTGTCCTGGCACTTGCACTTGCACTCTCCCCATCTATCATAACACCTATCATGCTAAATTGCATTAACCAGCTCATATGCCTGTCTTCCCCTCTCGACGGTAAGCTTCTGAAGGCATAATCCACATCTCAATCATTTGTCTTCCCAGTGACTAGCACACTGCTTGGCACAAAGCAGATGCTTAACAAGTGTTTACTGAATTGTGTTTCTTCTCTTGTGAAGTAGTTTTCAACCTTTTTTGTTAATAACAGATAATGAGAAAGGGAATGTGAGTCACAGAGTCACCTCTTCCTCATTCCCCCTCTTCCCTCCTCAGAATACTTTTTTAAAAACTTGCTTTATGATATCATATCCATTATCTCCATCATTTTCAAATACTCCTCAAAAGCCTCATGAGGCTCATCCCAGTTCTATACTTTTAGGGAAAAGGAACACATCATCAAGTGAGAGGAGAATAAAAAGAGACTTAAACAGCTGACATTCTGGGATTCCTTTGCCTCTCTTCACCCATTCGACAAATATTTGGTCAGTTCCCACCAAGTACAGAGCAGTCTGAAGAACTGTGGGAAATACAACTCCCTTCCTTGAGTCTGCCTTCAAAAAAATAAATTAAAAATTAAAAAGAGAAATAAAGAGGAAGGAAAAAGCCAAGTGCCTCAGAGACACTGAGAACACAAATGTGACCAGACCTGAGAAATGATTCTCCAAGCTCTGGTTTCACCTGGAAACAAAGACCCATTCACTGACAGTAATGACTTTCTCACTTCCCAGATGCCAAAGCAAACTCCTCCTCCGCCCTCACCAAGTTCTACTGTACCTTCAATCCTTTCACAGAGCTTATGCAAAGAGTGCATAGGGCAGGCCTCGCACAGCTTAATCTGGGTCTTGGCACTCTGCAGGGCAGCTGCGGTGCTGAAGGCTTGTTTCAGAGTCAGCATTACCTCATCAACCTACAAGAAGAAATAAAACTTAGGTCTCTAATAAATGTTTGCCTTCATAGTAAGACATTAAAAGCCCAACAGAAATATGGAGACTTTGCCGACACTAACTAAATAATAAATAATGGAATTTGACGACTACAGAGCTAGTAGAGAGAAAATATGAAGTGTAAAGTTAAACCTTCACTTATACTATCATTGAAAGCTGGATAAAGTAAGACCATTTTCATGTGTCTAACAAAGATTACTTGAATGCTATTTTTAGATCCCTCTGAGTGCTATACCGCCACTGACAGTTTAACTGACAATCAGATCTTTGTTTCATTAAGTAGTATATCATATTTCTTTGGAAGTTCTGTGTGCAATATATAGAAAGCAACAAAATAGGTTTCATGTTTACTTTTGGTAATAGGTATCCTATTGACTTTATCCTTCTGGATCATTTTTAGTGTAAAAATAAATAAAGCATGGGTTTCAGCAAAGTCATGGGAAAGGAGTTCAATTGAAATAATGTTGAGGGAAGTCTGTGAAGGTTACTGGTATTCCCTCTACATCTGCTCATTTATTATCATTTTGCTTCTGATTTGTGATAATAAGTTGTGACATCATATTGTGGAGCACTTAGGTCTCACCATTAGGTCAGCAGTTTGAAAATTACCATGTGGTTTCTCCTAGCCTTTCCAATGACTCAATCAAGAAGTGTGAATCTAGCAGTCTCATTTCCTGGTTGCTTCTTTGGGGTCAACTATCAGCTCATCCTCCTGCACTGCTAAACTGACTTCAGGCCATGTCTCTGTGATGAAGTCATCAATGTAAGTTGTGGTTTTCCCAGACACTGGAGAACTGAGATCAAAGTCTCAAACCGCCATAGAGAGCTGTGGAGGACCCAGGGCCTCACTCAAGCTAGCTTTGGTAGTGAATACCACTTTTTAAAGTCTTTGCTTTCCCCCTTTCAGCCTGCTTTAAGAATGAGCTATTATTTAAAGGATTTAATCTAGTGCTCGCTTCGGCAGCACATGTACTAAAAGGATTTAATCTACTTCTGCATTTGAGTGTATAAAGAACCTGAAATGAAACTTTATTCTTCTAATATTATTATAAGGAGAGATCAAACACTAAGCACCAGCCAGTCATTAATTCAGTGATGTTTTACTGTGTGTTATCAAGTTTTTAAAAGGCTGATGAATAATTTCACATTGTTCCATAAATAAAAATGAGTTATTCATAAAGTCTGTTCTTTTTACTATAATTAAAAAATAAAGATTTCTAGTTCTTGAAAATAAAAGTACAAGTCTAATTTTAATGCCTTTGCAGCTTTATTTCATTTGCCTTGTTATGTGTGTATTCAAAAACAATTTCAATTACTTATGCACATGTTTATTTCTATGTTCTTGTTTCTCATTTGTTAAAGGCACTAAAAGGATGAGTTATCTGCTTAGCTTTCATATGGTTTCATTATTTGATTTTAGTAATATTATCTTATAAAGACCTCCAATGGAAATATTGAATTTTCATGTTTTCTTCTCTATTTCTAGATGAAACAAGAGGCCATTTCAATGGTATCTAATATGTGGCTACTAATTTCTTCCAGACACAAATATTATTAAAATATTTATTTGACTTCTAAAATTATAAATGTTTTGTGCAAACAGAAGAAGAGTTTTCTTAGCATTGCCATCAGGCAAAATTAAATTTCCAGTGAAAAGTATGAGGTGGGACAAGGAAAGCCAACTTCTAATATTAAAGGTGAAAATCCATAATGAAGATAATGCTCATAAACATTTATGCGCCAAATTTAGGTATTTTATGGCACTTAGGAATAAGTCTATCAATCACAGAATATGTAAGGACTTCACAGGATTACCTAGTTTAATTCCCAGGAAAATGTAAACTATTAAACCCTACACGAATTCTGGGTCTTGGGAGCCTGAGTTTTTTTTCCTTTCCTTTTTTTTTTCGCACCTTTCCTGATACTATTGTCTGCATCTGTGGGGTTTTACTTTTTGTCTATCAGTAGCAATTTCCATTTTTTCCCATATCTTTTGAAACAATTTTGGAGAGTGTAAAAATTTTGTTTTCCACAAATCTCAAGGGTTGATTAAACAAGATGAAGCCAACCACCTACAGCTATTTTACAAAGGAAGGAAGGAAGGCATACTGAGCATCTAAACTTGGAGTGTAACTCCCCAGGACCCTTGAACACACTACACTGTTTATCAATTCACAGCAACTATGACAAAGACAAAAAAGAAAATGCTGGTTATGTATTCTTTTTGCTCAGAGAAGATAAGTCAGCATGTGTAGTTTTGTAGTACTTTGTCTTACACAAAGTAAGATGTTGACATCTTACAAGATGATGACAACTGCCATGCCACATCAATCATAACGCTGCTTAAACTATAATATTTAATTAACTGTTCTTGTTTTGTTCTATATGTCATCTGCTTGAACCATATTCTTTTATACAGGAAATCATATCTAATTTTTCTTCTAGCTTGCAATTCTGATGCCCCACTATTCAATTAAGATGCTTACTAAAAAAAAAACTAGAATCAACAAGTTTTTTTTTTTTAGTATTTTACTTATTCATGAGAGATACAGAAGAGAGAGACAGAGACAGAGACATTGGCAAAGCAAGAAGCAGGCTCCCCACAAGGAGCCCAATGTAGGATTAGATCCCAGACCCCGGGATCATACCCTGAGCCCAAGGCAGACACCCAACTGCTGAGCGTCCCTAGAATCAAGAAGTTTTGAAAGATTCTAGCAAAGTCCTGTTATTCCTAAAAGTGCCAAAATGGAGATTCTGATACAGCTTCGATGTAAAAGGAAGACATTCTCAGCCACACTGGGCTGTTGCCTTAGTCACAGAGCTTCTTAAGGTGGAAAATACAGCACATTTCCAGAACTTCTACTCTGACTCTGTTTCACAAAGTTATTTTACATGTATGGCGGGGGGGGGACCCAACCTACAAACAAAACAAAACCTCTAAGAAGCTGAGAATAAGAAACTTTTATGCAGGGGTATCTGAGTGGCTCAGTGATTAAGCATCTGCCTTTGGCTCAGATTATGGTCCTCGGGTCCTGGGATCAAGTCCTACATCAGGCTCCCTACAGGGAGCCTGCTTCTCCCCCTCTGTCTATGTCTCTGCCTCTGTGTCTTTCATGAATAAATAAATAAAATCTTAAAAATAAAAAAAGGTTTTATGTGATCTTCCTCTTAGTGCAGGTTATACAGTAATGAAATAAACCAGCACCTAGACAATGATTGCCTTAGTTAAGAGTATTGCACTCACTCACTCAAAATACACACTTAAGAAACAGTGGGGTGCAGGGATATGACAAGAATAAGAATGGTCCTGACCTTGTGGTATTAGTAATCTAGTGAACTGGAATGCTATGTAAATAAGAGTGGGATTGATAGGAATTTTTGGAGACTTATGAACAATATGGGGCGAGAGCACTGACAACAAAGCAACTAAAAGAAGTCAATTCCCACCAAAAAGAAAAATTCATCCAAAAAGGCTTCACCAGGATGTATACAAAAACAAAATAGAAAAGAAGGGGATTCAAGTCACAGTAAAGCAAGAGCAGACCTGCCTCACATCCAAAGAGGCAGGAGAAAATAGAATGTGAAAAATGGGTAATGAAAACACGGCATAATCTCCTTTGTTTTGCAGCAGGGTAGACCATGAAACCCAATGGCCACCTTCTCTGCCTAACAATGTAAAAGTGTGAGCCCTGGCTTTGGCCTCCTCTGACACAGCAGACTCCTCACTCTGTACAACCAACAGTGATCTCAGAACTTTAGCTGTACTTATGTGAGCCCCAGCCACTCATATAAATCCTTGATCCCATGTGTCCCCTGCATGAACCATTTGCTGCTTCAGTAGCAAACCAAACGAAAGCTACATCACACCATCACACCAGCCTCTGCTTTCTGGCCCAGAGACCAGCTAAAGAGATGGGACAGTCTGTGGGAGGACACAGTCATGAAAAGGAGAGGTATTCTGGTGGGGACCAGAGAAGGAGAAAGGTCCTTCTGCCATGCCAGACAATCTAGACTTTGTCTCTTAACAAGGAGGCATTAACTGGTTCCTGGAAATTTTGTGAGAAACATCATATGGCTTTAGCATGATGACAGATTAAGCTAGTGGCAGGGAGACTAGTTAGGACACTAGTGTGATAGTCTAAGCAAGGAAGGTGAATGCCCAGAATCAGGCAGAGGGGAAAGAATGAGAAATGGATAAGAAACCTTTCTATCTTTATGTTAACAGGATTTGGCAAATAACTGGATATATAGAAGGTGAAGGAGAATGTGTTATGATTTCTAAACTGGGAAGCTGGGAAAATGGAGATGCCAAAATAAAACATGGAATAAAAAACAGGTTTTGGAAAGTTAGAAGAATCAGGAATCCAGAATGTGGAAGAACCAGCCTTAGCGAGGAAGAGGGAAGAAAGAAGGGAGTGAGGGGTGAGCGGGCAGCAGGGCAGCAGATTCTCCAGACATTATTTTCTTCCTACGTTTTACTTGGTTGGCACTTTCCAGTGATGCATTGCTGCTTCTCTTTGGCTTTCTCTCTCTCCCTGCAGGTGCTCACCTGCTCTCAGGCCTTCAACTACCATTTACATAGTGGCAACTCTCAAATTCCTATCTTGAATCCTGAACTGTGCCTATTATACCATGGTCACCTGGATCTCAACATGTGGATTTATCCTAGGTATGGTTAATTATCTAGCATGAGAATGAAATGCAAATGGAACTCTCTTGAGTAAGAAACTGTTAGTGATGGGAGTGCTATAATCCCCAGAGAAACAAATTGAGGTCCAGAGGGTCCCAGGCAGAAAGTGCTTTTGTACCATTTCACTCTCATTTCTTCATTATTCCTATACCTCAGTATTCCTTCCACACGGTGACTATGGAAGGCCAGAGTTGAGCAGAAATGACAGCAATATGCACCAAAGAAGTGAGAAGAATGCTGCCTGGCTTGTTGTCTATGTCTAAGTGGTGTGTGTTTCCCCAGGAGAAATGCTTACAGGAGGGTTATATGTCTAAGAAAATATTTTTCTTCAAGCTATGGTGATAGACGTAAGGGTTTGTGTTAAAATGGTTAGGAGACATATTACAAATGGAAGAAAAACTAATAAATTTTAAGGAAAAATATCAAAATATGTTTTGTCATTCACATGCTTTTCTAAATTTGCCTTAAATTTTTCTTTAACTCCAACTGCTGCCATAAAGGGGCAGGTGGAGGGAGTGGAGGGAGGGTGTTCTAAAGAAGAATCAACTTTCACATTCCAAAGAGAGAAAATGAAAGCAAAAACAAGACCATTAAAAAATAAAGTTTTTAAAAAATGAGAACAGTGCCTAATGAAATAAAGAAAGAAAACAAAATCTTTCTCTGCTCTGCTGATGTAAACATTACCTCCTCTGAGATGTTATAATAATTCCGAGAATAAGAGATCAGTAATCTTCCTTATTATCTGACATGAGCAATGGAAAAAATAACAGCTCTTCTCCTATCATTAGTCTTTTCCTACCTTTTAAAAATAGTCCTGATAACATGACTGGATTTATTAAACTCAAGAAAGTATCTGGGCTTAAAAATTACCATGACAAAAAAAAATAAAAAATAATAAAAATTACCATGACAATTTGTTTTTGTTTTTCTACTGCTGCTTTAATTAACAGAAACCAGTTTCTAGATGCCCTCTTCTTTTTCCACTGGTGGCAGTTCTGTGAGGCTTGGGTTCATAAGAGACAAGTCTCCTGTCAGCCGGATGTGTGGGCAGGAGCATGCAGACAAGAATCATACCACTTACCAGAGATTCGCTGGCACACTGGAACACATAACAGATATAAAGGCTCAGTCCAGGCTCTGGTGACTCCCGACAGATAAAGCCAAAATGATCCACATGCTTTATACCCTACAAGGGGAAAAGAAGTGCAGTCTTTACTAATTAACACTATGAAAACTGGCATGAGTTCTATGCTTTCACACTTCCATGAATTTGTCTTTCTCAGCCCAGTGATAGGGGACATAATGGCATAGGAAATGTATGCAGTGATCTTTTGACACATAAAATAAAGCGAAAGAGGAATTCACATTGTTTTGGTTCAGACACTCTTGCACACTGTGACTCTGGGCCACAGGAAAAAAAAAAGATGATGACATGATTCATTGTCTCCTGTAATAAAATTACTACTTAGTATTTGCAAGTAATGGAGTTTTCAATTTATTAGTCTTCTTAGAACAAGCAGTCCGATGGTTTATCATAAACTGCTTTCTTGTCTATATGAAGCTAAGAATCAGAAAAACTACAACTAACCATGCTTTAATTAAATGGCATGCAATTCCCTAAAGTATGCATTCAACATACTAGAGTCTCTGTCCATATATAGACATGTAAGGAGCCACAGCTGTTAGAAAACCAATACAATGGAGATATTACTGCAGGTGTCAACTATCCAAATTTACAAACCACTATACTTCCCAAACCCACACAAAATAAGCTCAGCTATACTTAATAAAATATTCTGAATCATTTGTGAACTTCAGCCAGGCTGAATACATACATAGCAATTAGTACGCACACCTTGTTATTTTAATAGCAAACATAATACTTTAGAAAGCAGGGTATACAAGAAATGTACAGTTGTCCTGAAGTAACCTAAATCCCAGTGAAAAGAAAGTAGGCTTTGGATTCTGACAGATTTGTGCTTCATTCTTAGTTCAACCCACCTGCAGGGTATGAGACATTGTGCTAGGCTTCTAGTAACGATCTTTGAGGCTCCATTTCTCATTAGAAAAGAGTAGTAATGGCACCCATCTCAGCAATTTTTGAAATGTACAGCTAAGAATTCCCTATTATAGTTACTGGCACATAACTTTGATAAATGGTAACCACTTTTCTGGCAGTATTCAGTGGATATGGATCCATTGAATGGTATCAATCCAATGGATACGAATAAAGGAAATCCATTTCAACCAAAAGAAAAAAGTAAGGAGGGGTGAGGTTACCATTCATGAGCTGGAAGTTAGCTCCATCTGGTACAACTCCTTAGTGACAACAAAATATCTTTCACTAGCTTATAGTACTAAATGGGAAAAACTTATAGGACCTCACTAACTCAGGGAGTCTTTGAGCAGTGGCAATGTTTCCAGGAAAGAAAACCACTCCCTATTCCTCAAGCTTGTCATGGACACAGTCCTATAGATTTTGTGGAAAGAACTGTTTGTAGGGGTGCATGTGTTAAAAAGCAGGTCTGTTGCTGAATTTGACGCAAGTCTATCAGTTCAAGTCTGTGGAAAGAAGTAATAAGAGCAGGGCTATTCAGTGAGGAGCAGAGGTTAACTAAACAATTATTCTGATCAAAGGCCTTTGCACAAATGTGTAAGTCTTTTTCTGAACCAGAAGGTTGGGATATAAAGCTTGCTTTTTCTTTTTATTTCAAGTTTTTATTTAAATTCTGGTTAGTTAAAATAAATGGTAAAATTGGTTTCAGGTGTAGAATTCAGTGATTCATCACTTACATACAACACCCAGTGCTCATCACAAGTGCCTTCCTTAATACCCCTCACCCATTTAGCCAAGCCCCCACCACCCACCTCCCCTTCCAGCAGCACTCAGTTTGTTCTCTATTATTAAGAGTCTCTTATGGTTTGCTTCTCTGTGTCTTTCTTCCCCCTTCTCCTATGTTCATCTGTATTGTTTCTTAAATTCTACATATGAGTGAAATCATACAGTATTTGTGTTTCTCTGATTCACTTATTTAGCTTAGCAAAATACACTCTAGCTCCATCCACATCATTGCAAATGGCCAGATTTCATTCTTTTTGATGGCTGAGTAATATTCCAGTGTGTGTGTGTGTGTGTGCGTGCGCGCACACTCGCGCACACCACAGCTTCTTTATCCATTCTCCAGCCAATGGACATTTGGGTTCTTTCCATAATTTGGCTACTGTTGATAATGCTGCTATAAACATTGGAGTGCATGTGCCCTTTCACACCTGTACTTTTGTACCCTTTGGGTAAATACCTCGAAGTGCAATTGCTGGTGACAAGTAGCTCTATTTTTAACTTTTGAGGATCCTCCATACTGTTTTCCAGAGTGGCTGTACCAGTTTGCATTTGCACCAACAGTGCAAGAGGTTCCCCTTTCTCCACATCCTCACTTTATTTTTTATTTTTATTTTTTTAGATTTTATTTATTCATTCATGAGAGACACAGAGAGAGAGGCAGAGACATAAGCAGAAGGAGAAGCAGGCTCCCCATGAGGAGCCCAATTGGGACTTGCTCCTAGGACTCCACGATCATGCCCCGAGCCGAAGGCAGATGCTCAACCACTGAGCCACCCAGGCATACCCCCACATCCTCACTTTAAAAAAAGAGAGGACAGGGGGATCCCTGGGTGGCTCAGCGGTTTGGCACCTGCCTTTGGCCCAGGGCGCGATCCTGGAGACCCGGGATCAAGTCCCATGTCGAGCTCCCAGCATGGAGCCTGCTTCTCCCTCCTATGTCTCTGCCTCTTTCTCTCTCTCTGTGCGTCTATCATAAATAAAAATAAGTAAATAAATCTTAAAAAAAAAAGAGAGAGGACAAAGCAAAAATCATTTTTGAACCAGTTTTATATATTTGGTTTGGTTGGTTCTTTTTTCCCCCCTCTATTTTCCCCTCCTCTGGATGTTCAATGAGCATTACTGTTTTCTTACTGGAGACTTGAGGAATGTATGGGTGAGAGGCACAAGTTTTTAGGATAACTCTCGTTCTGAGCAGCAGGAACTACACTGGACAGTACGCCACTTTATCCTCTGTACTTGCCACAAAGTCCCACACGCAGAAATGTTTATTCAACATTTACTGAACATCTAAGTACTAAGCTCTATCTTAACATTTTATTCTGATGCCCTACAGAATGAGACACCATGAAATAAGACACCTGCCCTCACAAAACTGATCCTGCAGGGACTCCCCAGTAAACAGGTAATTACACAAAGACTTAATAACTACTTTCTCAGTTCAAGTGAATATAATCTTTCTACCCAATTTTTGGTATTTTAAACCAGAATTTAGAAAATTGCCATTTTTCATTCCTATAATTAGACACTGCTACTCTCTCAGTTATTTCAGTAAAAAGTTTTTATCTTCATGCCATAATTTTAGGTCACCAGTAACAAAACATTAAAATATTAGAAGTGTGGGACACCTGGGTGGCTCAGCAGTTGAGCATCAACCTTCAGTTCAGGTCGTGATCCTGGGCTCCAGGATCGAGTCCTGCATCGAGCTCCTTGAGGGGAGCCTGCTTCTTCCTCTGCCTATGTCTCTGACTCTCTTTATGTGTCTCTCATGAATAAATAAAATCTTTAAATGAATAAATAAAATATTAGAAGTGAAACAGCACTAGCAGAGCCCAAGGCAAATAATTAACAAGAGGTACAAAAGTTTATCATTTTTGAAAGGCAGAACATCTGAATATTAAACCCACAGCTACACTAATTCTGAAATTTAAAAATAAATAGGTAGTCTTGATTTTTCAACGTTAAAATACAAAAGTGGGCCTTGGCAAGACCTGAGTCCCTAGAGGTGCATCTAAGTCATCCTGCTGGGAAAGAAGTTAACTCCTCTCTATTCCAGAGACCTCCACAGATGTATCCTTGCATTCTTCACCTTCCTATATTTAGATCTAGATACTCACTCAACTCCAGTATCTTCGAAAACTGTTTCTGTGTTTACAATACATTTAGGTGGCTTCAACTTTGTGATAGACATCCTAAATTATTACTGTGGGACTTAGGACACTGTTTTATGCCTCTATGGCCTTGTACACGTTTAACTGTATCAGTTATTTCAAAGGGTTCAAAAACAATTTATGATTTAAAAATACACAAAATGACAAAAATACACCAAAACTTTCTTTTCAAACTTTGGCCTTTACATGAAAAGAAGTGGAAAGTGCTAGTTCTCCTTTTACTATCTACTACGATAATATGACTCAGTGACACCCACAAGTCCCACTGCCCAAAACTCTGAAAAACACTAGCTGTGGAGGTATTTTCAAAAGAACTCACCACCACAAAAATTCCACCTGAGGATGAAATTTGATGAAGTGACATTATGAGGAGAAAGGGGTGATAAAAATGAGAACCAACTACTATGATACAGAGGGACGTGGACAGAATTTTGTTTGTAGTAGAGACACAAACACAGGAGCACTCTTATTTAAGACAAATCCACTTAAAAATTAAAATTTAAAAAAAAAACAGTAAAATTTGAGTTTAAGTCTAGTTGTTTTGTGGTTAATTTAAAAACAAGATTTAAGTTGGTTTTGCCAAATATATGACATACGTACCTGAGAACAAGAAGAGATATCTTTAAAATTCTTCTCAAGCACAACTGATTTAGTGTCTGGACTGATAAGGTTAATCTCAAACCGTCCAACCTTAAAAATAAAAACATGCCAGTTAATTTCAACTCACGAGGACCTAACATCTTACTTTACGATGACATATGTAACTAGTGATACAGATTCAATCCAATCAGTATTTCAACTGCAAATATCAGCTCCCTCAACATATTTCCTCCTTTTGTCTACAAATCATGAAAATTAAGTTGGTCTTAATTTATAAGATAAAAGAAACCATTTTTTTTCATTAAAAATGATTGTCTTTTTAAAAACATGCAACCGTTCTTCACTTCATGATTTCTAAAAACATGAATTATTTAACCATGATTTATAATCATACAAATCATATAATCATTTTGTTGACCAAGTGGTCAACAAAAAGATAATATCTGCAGCTGAGCAGATTAGTTAAAATGTATGAAAATCGCCAACCAAAGAAATTAACATCAATAACTGTGGCTAAGAAAATGAATAAATCTGATAGTCCCAAAAAGAGAGGAAGCTCAGTCAACATATCACCCAAAAAAAGACTGTGGATACTTTCATTACATGGCTAGAGTTATCAAAAGCAAAACAGGACAAAACAAAAGAACCCATGAACTTCTGATAAGCAAGTATTACACACTGGGACTGTTTACCAAGGTACGCTGTGGAATTTCCTACTCAAGGGAGAAGAGTTGCTCTTTTATTTTTTTCAAGAAAACTCACATCTTACAAGCTTAACCTTGTCAGGAGGACTTAACCTCTCCAGGGCACTGTTTTGACTCAAGTTCTTTTAGGTGGAACTTGACATTTCCTATATCCTGTAGAAATTCAAAAACTACCTTTTAATTAAGGTGTATCTTTTACACCCATAATACAGCTTGCACATTACTTTAGCAACGAATCCAGGAAGTTGTCAGACCCACGGCGTTTCTTTAACTCTCCTTTTTTGTGTAACATCATCTGAAAATACACCTGTGAGTCTCTAGGCTTTTCCTTCTCTACGGAAAACTCCCCCCTTCGCCTCCAGGCCTATCACACTTGCCCAAATTCACATCTTTAAATCCTCTGTAAGACACAGCATCTACTTAAGAATCAACCTAAGGCAAATGCTGGTGATATGAAGGGTAAGCTGTTGAATTGCTTCTTCCTCCCTCTCTCCATGCCCTGCTCCCTCACTTCCTAAAATCCATATTCCACGTCGGCCTCTGAGCCCTACCCCACTTTCCTCTGCTCCTCTGTCCACCTGCTCTCCCTGCTTGCAGGATGGAGCGGAAGCTGCGTGGGCCGCTGCGGAGTGCGGAATGGGGCGGGGCCTGCTGCCCCTGCGCGCTGAGGCCCCGCCCACGCCGGCGCCCGCCCGCCCGCCCCGCCACGCCCCGCCCCGCCCCGCCCCGCCAGCGCCCCGCCAGCGCCCCGCCAGCGCCCCGCCCGGCAGCACCTGGAACAGCATCGTCCTGTTCTTCTCAGAATCCGAGGGCTGCACGTGACTCGGGGCGCTGGCGTGTCTCCTCCGCGGCTGCGGTTTTTGGCTGTTCTCGTGAACTTTCCTTTGCAAGACTCCGGTAACGCTGCTGCACCGAGACCGGAACTCCTGCTGCTGTTCATCAAGGCCGGAATCTTCCAGGATGCGCTCGGGGAAGCCCCCCCGAGAGCTGGGCAGCCCCGGCAGGCTGGCCGCGGCTGCTGGGGCAGGCCGGGCGTCGGGGAGGCCGTCCCCTTCCTCGGGCAGGACGTCGGCGGCCGCGCCGGGCCCCGGGGCCTCGAAGACCGCCGGGTCGGCGCCCGCCTCCGAGCCGCGCTGCTCGCCCTGCAGCCTCAGGCGCTGCTGCTCGTGCAGGCTGAACTGCTCGATGCAGTCGTCGATGAGGCTCGACGGCGCCTTCTTGTGGGTCACCGTCACCTTCCCGCAGTACAGGACTTCGAACTTCTGGGAGTTGTAAAAGGCATCCTCGTTGTCTTTGCTGGCTTTGGCATCCTCTTTCATGGCAGCTTTAGATAGCTGCCTTATGCTGCTGATAACATCAGGAACCTGGAAAGGAATTTAAAATCCGCGTTTCAGTTGGATATTTAGGGACAATTTATGTTTACCCAGAATTGTTCCTATCACATGCAATGCATTCCCATCCTACATGGTAACACATAAAAAGTAATAGTCGGACCCTGTATAGGATAACGGGTAAAATTAAATTACACTGTCAGACACAAATAAAGGTAAAATAAAAAATTTAATGTCAGTATTATACTTTCCCATTTTTTTAAGTCAATTTGTTTATACTATTTCCCATCATCAGCTTTAACTTTTTTTTTAAGATTTTATTTATTTATGCATGGGAGACAGGGAGAGAGAGAGATAGAGAGAGGGGCAGAGACTCAGGCAGAGGGAGAAGCAGGCTCCATGCAGGGAGCCCGACGTGGGACTCGATCCTGGGTCTCCTGGGCTGAAGGCGGCACTAAACCGCCGAGCCACAGGGCTGCTCTACTTTTCCGTTTTAAATGCATTGGCTTCCCAAAAACAAAACTGTGAGACCAAACAGGCCACTGCCAACTTTTATTTTTTTTTTTTATTTATTTATGATAGTCACAGAGAGAGAGAGAGAGAGAGAGAGAGGCAGAGACACAGGCAGAGGGAGAAGTAGGCTCCATGCACCGGGAGCCCGACGTGGGATTCCCAAAGCAAAACTGTGAGACCAAACAGGCCACTGCCAACTTTTATTTTTTTTTAATTTATTTATGATAGTCACAGAGAGAGAGAGAGAGAGAGAGAGAGGCAGAGACACAGGCAGAGAGAGAAGCAGGCTCCATGCACCGGGAGCCCGACGTGGGATTCGATCCCGGGTCTCCAGGATCGCGCCCTGGGCCAAAGGCAGGTGCCAAACCGCTGCGCCACCCAGGGATCCCCACTGTCAACTTTTAATAAATCATAATATATCCTTTAAGTACTTTGGAAAGTTATTACGAAGGGTCAGAGGTTTAAAAAGTAAGATTGAAAAAGTACACACTAACACATATTAACTGGACATGAAAAAAAATAAATGCAAAAAATAAATAAAAGTTATTATAAGTCTCTGCTGAAAGAAACCAAAGTTTCAACAATGAGGATAAAATAAACTTTCTGGATGAAGAGATTAAGATCCAGACACTCATCAATATTAGCCATCAGAAAAAATGCAAATTAAAACCACAGTAAGATAACATTACACACACCTATTAGAATGGCTAACATCAAAAAGACAAAGTGCCTGCTGGGATGTGGAGCAACTGGAACTCTCATACATTGTATGCAGAGATGTAAAATGGCAAAACTGTTTTAGAAAATCTTTTGGGAGTTTCTCAGGAGGTAAACATAGACCTATCTCGGGACCCAGTAACCCCACTCTTAGAGATTTGCTAACAGCCCTGAAAATATGCCCACACAAAAGCTTGTCCACAAATATTCATAGAAGCCTTAGTCCCAACCAATCGTGATGTTCATCACATGAACACTCACTAAGCATCAGGGAAATGTAAATCAAAACCAGAATGAGATATATCATCTTACCAAGTGGTTATCATCAAAAAAGACCAAAGATAAGCACTGGCAATGATGTGGAGGAAGAGAATCTCCACGTTGTTTTAGTGGGAACATAAACTGAGGCAGTTAAAATGGCAAACAGTATGGGGATTCCTCAAGATAAAAACAGAACCATCATATGATCCAGTAATTCTACTTCTGGGTATATAACCAAAGGAAACAAAATAACTTTCTCAAAGAATATATCTGTACCCCCATATTCACTACAACATTATTAACAATAGCCAAGACATACAAACCACCTCAGGGTCTATCCATAATGAATAAATATAATACACAGATATAAATATAAGTGTATAAATGGAATATTATTTCGCCATAAAATAGGAATCCTGCCATTTGCAACAATACGAATGGACCTCAAGAGCATCATGCTAATTAAAATACGCTAGACAGAGAAATAGAAATACTGGGTGACCTCAATTATATGTGGCATTTTTAAAAACTGAACTCATAGATAAGGAAAATAGATTGGTGGTTGCCAGGAGCAAAGGAGGTGATGGAGGTGCTGGAATAGTCAAAAGGTACAAACTTCAAGGTAAGTTCTGGGATATCACATACAGCATGGTGATTATTACTAGTAATACTACATTATATATTTGAAAGTTGCTAATCAAGTAGATCTTAAAAGCTCGACTTTTAAGAAAAGAAAAAACAAACCTGCAACTATGTGAGGTGAATGATGCTAAACTGATTATGGCAATCATTTCCCAATATATACATGTATCAAGTCATTATATTATCCGCCTTGACCTAATACAACCCTGAATGTCAATTAAATCTCAATAAAACTGAAAAAAACAAAAGCAAACAGATAAAATGTGGTACAGTCATATAACAGAATACAAATCATCTCTTACTTGTTTACCCACTAATCTTTTAACCAGTGTCCGTCCCTTGCCCCCTTCAATCTACTCTCAAAAGCCAGAGGATCCTTTTTAAACTGAAGTTAGAATCCTTCTGAAACAAATGCCATGTTACTCACCTGTAAATCCTCCAAGCTGTCTATTTCATTAAGAATAAAAGACAAGATCCTTACAATGCCCTAAGGGCCCATGCCATCTGCATATGACATACGTATATTAAATATGCCCTGTGGCTACATGTCTTCCATGACCTCTAATCAACCTTTTCAGCTTTTCATCTTAACCGCATTCACTATGACCTTACTCCTAAACTCCCCCTCACACAGTTGAAGCCAAACAGACCTTTTAGCTATTCCCAGAACATGCCCCCTCCCCACTCCTCCCTCAAGAGCTCTGAGCTCCATGCTCCTCTCCCAGTTCACTGCATGGCTCACTCCCTCATTTCATTAAATCCATGCTCTAATGCCACCCTGTGAGAAAGCACCTGCCCCCCCCACCCCAAAACACACACATACACTGACACAGCCAGCAATCCCTGGGTTTTTTTCCCCCTACTTCTCTATAGTAACATCCTTTTAACATCCTGTATAATTTATTTGCCAGAATGCAGACCGTAGAAGGGCAGTGATTTCTGGCTTTTCTGGTTTTTTTTTTTTTTTTTTTTTCCATTTTTTCCCTCATATCCCAGAACCTAAAATGCTTTCTGGTACAAAGTACATGCTTATGTTGGCCAAAGGAAAAAAAAAAAAGAAGAAGAAGAAGAAGAAGGAAACTGGGGGGAGGGTAGTTTTTATCTTTGGAAAAGAAGATTATTTTATATTCAGGGTTGTTTTACATTTAGACACATATCTTCAAATCTTCTAGCACCAATTCTGAAACCAGAACTTCTCTTTGACGTAATTATTTGGGATACAATGCCAGAACACTCACAGTTCAAAATCATAAGGATTTCAGCTTGCTGGTCAAATACTTCCTATGAAAGAATCAAGTCCAAATGCTATAGTTTCAATGACTACCCTAAACACCTGACCTGACTCAGGAAAGAAGTCAGGTGTTTTGTACTAACACATGACCAGCAACCTTAACCCTCTGTCATTTTCTTTTTGCCTTAGTATCTTACCAGGGCCAAAGCTAAGGAGAGTGAGCTAGATACTCAACCCTACAAAAAGCAAAATGATTCTAGTGGCTGCTAGGCAAAACTTTAAGATAGTTGGATGCTTTCTTCCTTGTTAACCATATTTCAGGAAATACTTTTCATCTAATTTTGCAAGCCAAGTGTTCATAAATTTCCAAAATGTCTTTGTAAAGTACAGAAGAAATATTATCTGTAAGATTTTTTTGGACCTGCAGGATTTTGATCTTGCTACAAATATGTAAACTATTTTTAGAGTTATATTCTACGATTGAGACTACAAATAAAGTTAATTCAAACTAAGGTGCCTCAATTCTTCTGTATTACACATTTATACCCTTTCTCTTCCATTAAATTGAGAGCTCTCATATGTGAAGAACTGATTAGGGGCTGCATTTCTATAGTCTTACTGACACTTCTTTGCAACCACAGGCAAAGGCTCAGAATCTAAATGTAATTCAGTTAATGACCCAGTTTATATAAGCAAAGCTTATCATCTTGACTAAACTGAATTGGAACTTCATCTTCCCATAATCTGAGTTCTTGACTGTGCCATAATACCCTCCCCCTCAGGTCATGACCAACAACAGGTTTCAATGACCCGGGATGCAGAGGCTCCACGTGACCTATCAACAGCCAGCTCTGTTTTTGCTTATCATTACACAGAAAACACACATTAAACATTGTACAGCCCCTGCCAACACACTCAGAGCCCACACCAGGAGAGAGACACTGATAAAGGTCAGTAAAATGTCCATAGTGGGAAAATGACTTATTAGAGAAATATGAAAACCTATGAGGCATTTAATGTGAAGGGTCAATCAGAAGCAGCACAAGAGAAATACATAGCCCAGTCCTTGCACATACTCCTGATATTTTGGGGAAACAACATTCTCTTCTAGGACAGCATTTACTGATATATTTATATGTACATTTTTATGTTTTTGAATGACTTTAATTCTTCATATGTATCATATCTTTCAACATCTTTTTCCCCGTCTACTATTGTACTGTAAACTCTTAACAGGAAGACTAAGTGGTGGTGATTTTGTTCTTTCTAGAGCTCTTCCATGTGACTGCTAGTAAAGTATTCCATGCTCAGAATAAACTGAGTAACTACTGTCAGGAAACTGAAGTATAAATAGTAGTGAACAACTTCCTAGAATCCTGATAAAAGTTCTCTAGGATTTATATAGGTTTAGTAAATTCCTTTTGCTAACTCGAGATCTGGCACTCCCAAAAATAGAAAGCCATAACTTCTCACTCTGCTTAGTGCTCACTCAAGTGGGAAGTGAACGTACATGTCAAGAATGTCTCCAGTGCCATAGAGCACCTCAAACTACATGCTCCAGGTGTATAATCTAGTTATTCATACTCTAGCTACGAAGAGTTCCATTGCTCAGAATCTGACTATGTCACATGGAACCTGATGAGGATTTAATGCCAACTAAAGGCAAGGT